TTCTTACCCTGCACACAGACATCTGATTGGTCGTCAGTGTGCCAGTCTTGTCGGAACAGATGACAGATGTACAGCCAAGGGTCTCTACAGAGGGCAAACTGCGGACAATAGCATTCTTCTTGGCCATACGCCGTGTTCCTAAAGCCAAGCAGGTAGTGATGACAGCCGGCAGCCCTGCAAAACAGCAACAGCGGAGCCACAGCAGAAAAGAGGATTATTAAGTGATGAAAATTCTTTAGTCGTCTCGTGAAGTAGTGGAAAATGAAGCAAGCATATCAAGGACAGAACTACATTTGCAAATGTCCAGCTTACCCTCAGGAATTGCAGCTACTGCAAGAGCCACAGCAATCTTGAAGTAATAGACAGCACCTCGAATCCAGGAACCTCCATGAACCGGGTCGTTGAAATGTCCAATATTGATGATCCACACAGCAATGCAGATCAGTGAAATAACCTTGAATTAAAAATTAATTTTTTATTTAAAGATATTTTAATATCAAATGGAATAAACATTAGATTTTTATTTATTTTTAAAAAAGGCCATCCCTAATAATGTGCAAAACAATGCAATTTAAATAACCTTGGAGAGTTGCTGCCCAAACTCATCAAGCTTCTGCTGCAGGGGTGTACGCTCCTGCTCCGTTGTAGCCATCTCATCTCGAATTTTGCCAATCTCCGTGTTGCCAGCTGTGGCAACCACCACACCGACAGCCTTACCAGCTGCAATGTTGGTACCCTGGTGGAGTAATGGGGGAAAATAAAGAGGCAGTAGAAACCTAAAAATCTTAAGACAGTTTTTCCTCTTTGTCAATAACTACTTCTGTGAGACCGGTTAGAGACGCACAGAAGTAACTTTTATAAACAAATTTCAAAAACAGATACTTAAAATGTAAATAGCAGCAAACTGTTGCTTTTATAGGTGTACTCTGGGTGATAGAAAAGATAGAAAGGGGGAATCATGCGCCAACGCAAAAAAAAAAAAAAAAAAAAAAAAGTGTAAAATGACACCAAACCACCTAAGATGGTCTAGTGAGTGACTCACTGAAAACAGCATGTTCTTCTTGTCCTGGTTGACAGCACGCGGGTCAGGCACTGGGTCTGTGTGTTTGATCACAGACACAGACTCTCCTGCAGGTAGAGGAAAACAAAAGATAAGAGAATGGGAAGCAGACGCAGAGTTTCTACACAGCAGAGCATGTAGTGGTACTTGTGATGGTTGGTTGACATTTTGGGCAGATATGTGCAGAAAAGGCTTTGCAGCTGACTGAGCAGGCCCGACAATTATCAAATACTGCAATTCCACTGCCTTTCAAACCCCTCATCCGATGTGTGTATGTCTCTGTGTGTAATCAACTGTGCAAGACTGCACATTTTCTGATAGAGCAAGGCAGGGAGCATTTGACAGGCGGCATGGCCATGAATGGGGAAGGAAAGAGGGGAGAAAAACAGCTCAAACACTAAAATATCCCATGGAATTTGCTACCAATTAAGGCAGCAGAGCAAGACAAGCGATTTAAGGACTTGGTTCACATAAACTCTTCTCCCCTACATTTTCCATCCTTCAATATTCTCCCCTTCTATTTTTCTTTCCATCTACCTCATTGTCCAATTATCCACCCACAGAATCATCCATTTACCTTTTATTCACATCACTCATTTCATTTTTGTCACAGCTGAGCAGCCATGACAACTGAGTGCAATGAAAATGTGCAGAAAAGGGAGACAAGGTGCTTATTCCTGCTGTTACATGTCTGGGTTGATCAAAAGGTCAGAGGTAGCCGGGCAAAAAAAAAAAAAAAAAAAGCAGAATGCGTGAACAAGAAAGAAACCATAAAATATAAAGCTATGGAAACGCATTAAAAGATGGTGGTATATGTACAATCACTCTTTGTGGGTATGACACAGAGCTCACAAATACAAAATAAATATTTAAAAAAGCAAATGGCTGAACTCTGAAATTACCTGTAAGAATCGACTGGTCTACCCTCAGTGTGGTTGACTTGATAGAAGTGAGCCTGATGTCTGCAGGCACTTTATCGCCGACTGTGGAGAAAAACAAGACAGGAGATAACTAAGTACCTCTTAACAACTTAAATGCATCTTTGAATGGGACTGACAACTAATGAATAGATACTTTGAACAATGCAACTTACAAAAGCAGTTTTGTAATTATTCGATGCAACATTATGCTGAGGCATGCACATACCCCACATGTAAGAATACTCTACTAAATTTAGAGTATTTTATCATAAAAAGGAAAACCTGGGTTAAAAGCTATAAATAAATATTAATCATCACACACAAATGCTAAACACATGAACTGCCATGTTATCCCATCTCATGCTCCCTGGGAGTAATAAAATAATCAAACTCAAGCCTGAGAGCGCCGTGAATTCAAAAATTATTAATGTTCCACTCATCTCCTGCACAGGATGCAAGTAGATCGCTGCTCATTCTTTCCACTAACACAGGGCTTCAGTGAGCCCCAGTAACACGATCACAAAATGTAAATACACACCAAATTTCAAACTAGTGTTTTCTCTGTATAAAGACAGTAAGTACAATTAAAGCAACAGACTTTTATTAGCAACCACTACTTTGTACAATTTCCTCATGCAGGTGGGTCTGATCTGCAAAGACTTACTGAACATTTCAGGGATGAGGCTGGAAATACAAACATTTAAAAAGTCTTACTAGACTTGTGCATCATGTATCAAACTTTACCTTAAAAATAAAACAATGTTTTTTTAAATTAAATGTTGTTTTTTTTTAAAGCCACTTTGGATTCAAATGAACACTAACACTACTTTCATCATGCACTAAAACATCACATGGCCTAAAAGTGTAAAGGTAAAAGCAATGACCCAGAAGCTCTTAAGAGACCCCTGGATAATGGAGAGTGATGACAGACTTGTAAACCAACCCTTGGGCCTGCGGTACCCTTCAGAGAAGAGGAAGAGAAAGAGGATGTAGGAGAGGAATGGGAAGAGGGATTAGATGAGTCCTGCAAACCACACATCCAAAAATGGGAAAACTATTTTGATCAGTTGAAAACATGCAGCTGGATTTGAAGAGGGGGGATAGTAAAAAAGTTTTTTTAAGCAAGGAAAACCCGTTTTACGTCAGATAAGCTGAAATAGAAACAAATATGACACGTCCTTGCATACAGATAGTTCGTTAATTCAGACAAGTCTCATGAATTTGTGACAGCTTTTGCCACCAACAGAATTAAGCGAGGAAATTCTACTTAAAACTAAACCGATATAAGCTGATCACCACACCATTTCACATCATGTGCACAGCACACAATTCATATAAAAATGTTATTACTGTAGCGTGTTAATGCTGGGTTCATGTTAAGTGTAATGCTCGTGGACTGCACCAGCTGTACTACCAAATTTGGTTCTGTAGTTGTCCAAACACTGTCAAAATCCTTATCATCGTCACCTGCCTGCAAACAAAATACCATTAACAGATATGAGACAGTGAAGAAGATGAACAAGTGCAGTATGGGGGAGGACAAAAAAGAAATTAAGGAACTGTAGTCACTGGAAATATTAGAAGGCCCTGTGGGACTTTTAAAACTCACTAATTAGAAAACCTCCTACCTTAGAGTAACAGTGAAGCATGTCGCTATTTTCAATCCACTGGTGTATACTAGGAATAAGGTCACAGCAAGCAGACTAACCCACTTTCACAGACAAATACACAGAATACTCTGCCTACAACCACAGACTATAAATGCTATTCAACAGTAACCCTTAACTGAATACATTACCCCATGACAAACGACGTACAATATGTTCATCATCATTACAATCTTGCTTATCTGGGAATTGTGATCGTATTACAATTCCAAAAGGAAAAGTATGCATTAGTTAGTATTAGATCAATAAGCATAAACTGCAGTTAACAGTGCCTCTGTGCAGTGGCTGTTTCCTTTTGTTAAGAGTAATTACTGTAAATATTTTTCAATTATCTACAAAAAAAATTGCTGCAGTCACCCAGGACTGCAGCTGTATCAACTTAGAGGCATTTTATTTTTTCCAGAGTGGACAACCCCTGGGATTGGGACCCCCTTCCTTTCCCTTGTGAACAAAATGGTTTTATCTGTATTATCTGCTCCCTTGAGTGCAGGACAAATGTCAGGCAGCAACTTAACCGATAAGGCCACATCAGTTTCTAAAGACAGAAGCTGTTTTCAGACACTATTCAGGGTCTGTGTTCCCACTTTCCAACCTTATCGTGGTCCAAAACCATGATTCAATGTGACTTTAAAATATAGCCTGAATTTCAGGATGTATGAATCTGTCTGTAATCAAGACAACAAGCACCCACTCACAGGGGGTCCAGTGAAACTTTCGCAGCCTTAGGGGACTGTATATTTTCTCTCCCAGTGACTCAGACTCTCTGATGTGCTAGCACGTAGGCTTCCAGTCTCCTGGGAACTTTCATGAGTTCATCCACCTCCCCAATGACTCCTCTACTTCTTTTAAGAATTGGGGGGGGGGGGGGGGTCAAGACAACCCCTGAGGACAAACACAGGACATTGTCCATTCATGTAATGTGTAATGTTACAACAATGGATCAATACTTTTGTCAACTTTTCTGTTCTCCTTAATTTATTCCTCTTCCTCTCTCATGGCTAAAAATCAACAAAGAAATACCTAGAGGTGATGACAACAAACAGGCCATCCTGCACTCCTGAAAATGAGAGGAAATTTGGCCATCTGGAGCAGAAATGATTCATCAAATTGAATCTGTATCTTTTCTACATGTTACATCCTGTCTAGTCTCTTCCTCTGGGCTAAAGCACATTAATGGTGACCACTGCCCAAAGGCTGTGGTTAAAACTGTAAGTCAATGAGAACAGAGCTGATGGGTTTTATATGTCAAGAAAGAAAAAAACAAAACAAAGAATTGTCTGTTACGTCAGTCGAGTGCTGGAAGCAAATAAAACGAGTACATTAACGCAGGAAACTAAATACACAGTTAAGAGAACAAAGCCTATAAAATAAGTCAGCTGCTGCTACACTGACACCAATGTGTTTTCATTTCAAAAAGATTTTAACGAGAAAGTTGATCTCTAAAAGATGAGCATTTTAGCAGTTGGCTACACCAACAGCCATCACGTTTTTTTGGCATGCCCTACTTCAGATGTTAAAAATAGTTCAAGCCCTGCATTCCACATTTTTAATCAATCATTAACCAAAAAATGAAAACGAAAGATGCAAGTTGAATTTTGTGAAAATAACAGGTCAGTAATTGCATCAGCAAACTCTTGTTTACATTCCTCAGTGAGGTCTGCCCCACAGTTTGAGTACACTGGTACAAACTAACACACCTGAAAATATTTATGATAGATAACGGTGAAACACGCAGGCTAACTGTTTGTTCAATGTGTGCTTATCACACCAATTTTTTAATAGGACAATTTCCAGAGTGATTTTATGGAGTTTTACATCAGCCTTTCTGGCCTTTTTTATTTTATTTTATTAAGTAGGAGAAAGACTCTACTCACACTGGAAAACGCAACAATGACTGTTGGGTAAACCATTTTTTTCCCTCCCCATTTGCTGAACTTCTGCTCAGAGTTGATTTCAAACTACCACCATGTTAATCAGTCACTGTTGTGGCTGCATTTTTAATATAATGGATGGCCAGTGTGTTTAGCCTGAACTTTGCATATCAGAGCTCCATAAAACATCAACTCATCCTACCAATTTGTGTTTACTGCTTTCAGTTTTGAATGTTGATATATCGGAGACATTTTTAATGTTTGTTTTAACAGTAGTTTTAGAAAAGCAAGAGCATCTAGTAACAGCTTGCTCTTCTCAGTAGCAGCAGCTATACCCAGACAATGCCAGATCCTGACCCTCCTCTTGCTCACAAAAATTACTCAGACTGGATTTTTGTTTAATATCAGCTGTGAGACAATTTAATTTAATAATGAATAACTAACTAGTGTTTCTGTTGAGACAATTTTGAGATAGAAACTGCTCTTATGGATTATAGTGAGTGAAAAGAGAGCAAGAGTGAGAAAGAAATGTATACAAATGAAGGACTGCAAGGCACATAACCAGAGCAATTCACACACTCAGCACACACTTCAGCTTAGCACTTCACAACTGGTCTGACAAAGCATCTGAGATTGTGAAAGAAAGATATAAACCACATGCACCCCAGTCCAGCAGGGTACTTTGCAACTGACATTATACCCATCACTATCCTGCTTTATAACACATACAACTTACTGGTTTGACAAGCTGGTTTCCCCAACACTGATAACAAACATATGCACACAATTTGTTAATCATGTTATTGTCAGTACTCAAGGAACCATTTACCTCATTAATGGCCACGCAAACATCCTGTTATCACAGACCCTAAATCCCACTGATCTAACTGCATTGATAAAGCTTGCAAAGTGGGCTGTTTGAATTAGTGACAGCCCACTAAAATGTCAGATTTGCTGATGGGACACTGAACATGGCACAATTGTTGAATATATGGTAATATATGTTAAAGTACTTCATACTTATCTTTAGTGGATCTATTCATGTCAGACAGGCAGAACCAATTACATTTTGGTTCATCTTCACTCATTTTGTCATGATATGATGGATGCATTTGTAACTTAGGTAGACTGAAGCACAACAGGGGCCAAGCACTCTGTGTAATCAACAAGCAGTAACTGGAAAGAGGCCATACAATTCCATCTCTTGTTTTTAAATTACCTTCAATCCGTGATTCATTATCATTTGTTGGAAGCCATTAGGTTTCAGTTTTGTGATTTATTTTGGAAAACTAATATTCTCTTAACTGTGGAGAATGGTTTTGTCACTGCTGCCATCTCGTGTATTCAAAATTGATACACATTTACAAGAAACAGCTGTCCAACAATAACAAATGAATGCACCTCCACAACGTCCACAGTTAAAGAAATATTGTTGACCAAATGGCAAATTTTAAAAAAGAAAATAAAAAGTGAATATAACCCATCAGGTTATACTGGGATTGTTTTTCAAGTACAAATCTGTCAGAGCACAGCATTTACTTTAAAGGCAGTGGATCCTCATTCATTCTACAACCGTTCTGTAAGCTTGTGATAAACATTACAGACACACTCCACTAAGCTTTCCTCTGGAATAAAGGGAAAAAATATACAACCCAAGACAGAGTACAAGAACAAAGATAAAAGATAAAAAGAGACCAAATGAAGTCTTGGTAAGAAAACACACAACACAGAGTAATGAGGAGCAGTGACGCAAAACGCATAAACATGTGTGGCTCTATCCAAGCTGAGGTCAGCCAACTAACGCTCAGTAACAGATTGAACCTCTGCTCTTGTATTGCATAATTTACTTGGTACTACAATTATTCTGAAATAGTCTAGGGAGATAAACAGGATGAGAGATCAGCTGTGTGTCTACATGTTGAACACTGTAAAAAGTACATCATAACTGGTTATGTTTACAGAGCTGTACATATCTTATGTTTAACAATAGCACATGACTGCTGGACTACAGCCATGCTTTTAAACACCTTTAAGTTTTTAGATAAGAATTACCAATACTGCATGCAATCAGTTTAAAAAAAGGAAACTAAAACCAGATACTGATGTAGACCAATCAATAGGAAATTACATTCTATCCTGTTAGAAAAGCATGGTGAAAAACCATGAATAAATCTAACAATCATTATGTTGCTTTGCACTTCCTGTTGCGATTTCAATGACCTGAACCAAAGCGACAAAAAGATGAAAAACTTCTCACAATATATCCTGAACAGCGTGTTTAATTTTGTTGTTTGGCTACCTTACTTCTTTCATGACAACCTGACAGCATCTAACAACATCTGGAATATTATTTTATATTAGTGTACACCTGATATTTTTAGTCTTACCTGCCACCTCCACAATGTCCCCAGGCACAATGTCCCTTGCCTTGATTCTCTGGACACTCTTCCTATCCTGGCGGTACACCTTCCCCATCTCTGGCTCATACTCCTTAAGGGCTTCGATGGCATTTTCTGCATTTCGTTCCTTAAAAGTAGAAACAGGAATTCGACTTAAAAACAAGCCAGCACCACACATGCAGCTCAGAGGCTGAGGATGAAAAGGGAGGTGAAACTAAAACGACTCTCGGACAGTCAGTGTACAGCTATTCACAATGTACATAATGGAGAGTGGAGAGTTATCTTTATGTAAGCAAACCGACAAAGTGAACTAAGAGAGGAAGTGAAGCAGAGTAAACACTGTGGTGTTGCAAAAGGCTGAAATAGTAGGAATGCTACATTTTCAGAAGTGAAACACTTTACAGTTACCTTCAAAGGACCCCCAATTTATGTAAAACTGTCCTTATTTTAAATACTACAGCTGCATTTTTACATCAGTTTTCCCAAATATTCCTTTCAGTCTCACTATTTTCCTTCCTTACCATTCTTCACTTTACTTTTCTTTGTCTGGCTGATTGCTTACAGACTGCATAGTTTGAGTGGCAACTCTTAACATAGCAGTAAGTAGGCTGCACATGAATAGACATAACAAGACCAGGCACACAAGTTATGGCCTTTGTAAGGGAGCACAGAAAAATGGATACAAAGCTCTTAAAATGGCTGCCGGTAAAGGTGAGGCCAGTTAAGGGAAGCTAAGCAACATATACAAAACTACAGGCGCCAAACCACCACCAACATGATAAGCAGCAAACAGATCATCTTTCCATTCTACATCATTGTGGCTTTGTAGGAATAAGCAAAGGCAAACAGGCACTTAACAGCTCACCATTTACACAAGCCTCAGCAGGACTGTTCAACGAACATTTACTTTTACAGGCAATCCAGTGGAGATACACCCGCATACCAGGTGTGTTTGACAAAATATAGTGTGGTGTGGTTTATAGTCACATAAATAAATCAAAATAGTAAATTGGAATTTTATCCCCAGGTGGTTTTAACAAGCAAATGTGCAGTTTGGATTACATCAGCACCGAGTGAGAGACGAAAACCTATTTAACAAAACGCCTGATCTTTCAATCCTGACCCCAGGGAAGAAGTTAATTTGTCTACAGATATTAAGCACAGTTTATCATGAAGGGCTATCCCTAGTTGTTCCTCAGACATTGATAAACCTTTGATAAAATGATCTATTAAATAAACAAGAAGCCAATAAAACATTATGTCTGGTAAGTTATGTTTTCTTCATTTCTGAAATGTTGTTTGGATCTTACAAAAACAAAACAAAAAACACAGGCAATATCGGGGGAAAAAAATCCAAACTAGTCTTGATGTAGTCTAACAACTGATACTAGGAATACAAGGGTTGATGGAGAGGGGACAGATTTATTCTGACTGCAAAGCATACGTAGGATGAGGAGACAGAAAGAAGTGCAAATAAGTTGTCAGATAATCTGAATAATGGAGACTGGTAATCTGATCAAATCTTTGTCCATAACATTATTAGTTTCCTCTTAAGAGAGACTTCTACAAGCTACACAACATCTATGCATATTTTTGTGATATTAAGCTTTTTAATGGCACGATGAATAACTGGCAAGACAGAAACTGGTAGGGGAAGCAAACTACTCCCTGCTCACCCCACTAAGCACCATTTAGTAGATTTGGTTAAAATTGTATAAGTAGAGTTACTTGCTAAGCTAAGTGTGATGTTATGTGGAAAACTTATCTGCTTACAAGGAAGCCGAGTATTCATAACAGTACATGAAAATTTCACTCAGGTAGCCAAGTTTTAATGACCCATGCGAAGTCAGATTCAAAACTGCAATTTCGTTTACCTGCCAAACTCCTACAATGGCATTTGCGATGAGAATAAGAAGGATAACAAAAGGTTCCACAAAGGCTGTAACGGTTTCTTCTCCCTCTTCAAACCAGGCCAGGACCTGCAGACAAAACAGAAATTAAGGGAATCAAACACAATGCAAGCAATTTATATTTAAGTGTGAGCTATAAGCAACACTAAAGTCCCTGGCCTGGGACGATATGGCATCTTTTTACCCAAGAACACCCAATAATGAATATTCTAGCATATGTCAGAAAAAGTATTTACACAGAATTATATTTTAGATTATTCACTGAAGTTGTATCATTTAAGTTTACTTTGTTTCACAGAGTTGCAAGAATGTTGACTCGAGTAGAACAAGCTTGCAGGCTTGATGGTGAAGATGCAGTGCCTAAATTCACAAAACCTGCCCCTTTACAACCAAATCAAAATACAAAGGACTTTGGAAATCACAACATGAAACAGAAATATCAGAGCTGAACACCACATTGCGTCATTCACATGAATGGAGAAAAGGGAGGTGAAAAGGTCACAGCTATTTTCAGCTGATTGTCTATTTAATGGCCCAAGACAAATAGCTCCACAAGCGCAGTGACTCCAGCTTTATTTCACATGAAATGTTACAACCCTTTTATAGAACAAATATTATAAAAGAACTCAATAAATCAATTAAATGTGAGAAACCAGCAAACATAACCTCACAGCCAAACAAAATTAAACAAGTCAAACTGTGGCTTAAACTGAATATTTATTTATGATCAGTTACTTACAATTTGGACTTGAGGCCTTTCAACCAACTTTCTGGACAATAGTAATTGTCAGGTTCAAGTTGTTATTTCCTTACACTGTTTGCAATGAACTTTGCCTGTTGGTGGAGTTGTGCTAGAATCTCACTTTGCCTTAAGAGTGGTTGGAAAAATTATTTTTAATCATCAATAATCATTTAAAATTTTATGATTATACCAAGCCAGCTTCTGACAGCATTGCGAACGGGGCCAAGTGTGTGAGAGGGTATTAATCACTTTCCCTTCTTTTAGAAACTGTGCCAGGAGAGAAGTGTGTCAACTGCCTCTCTCCTACTCCAACCTATTTCAACACTGCCAATCAAACATCAAATTTAGACTTTATACTAAAGAAATTTACACTCCACCCATCAGTTCCTGAATGTTTTAATGTAACATCTAACAAATGTCTGCATATAACTTCATATTCACACTGAAGTAAATGTAAATGTGTCTGCATGTGGTGTGATTGAGAGCCGGCCGAGTACTACAGCTGATAATTTATAAGCTCTGAAAAGCATAGCTGGCTGTTGTCACCATGCCTTGGTGTCTCAGGATAGTCTGAGCCAACGGGAGAGTGGCCAATCCTTGAGTAGAAGCAGAGCCACAGGATACTCAACCTACCACTGTGTCAAGCATACTCTACGCTGGGGATCGCCACTTATCGGTGGCAAGAATATAAAGCATTCAGAAGTTATGTTTGTTCATACCGGACAAGTAATGACTCCAAATATTAGTCCTCGCTATACTCTAGCAGTATGTTAACACCAGTAAAATCAATCACCACTGAAGTATACCAACTTCTCATGTGTCTGTCGCCTTCTCTCTTTATAACAGCCAAGTGTTTGCTGCTCTTGTCAACAACACGCCACGCATTCAGACTTGTTACAGTGGCAGATTCACCCATTCTCAAACTGCCTCAACATCAGTGCTCCTTTTGAATTACAGACTTCTGGAGCCTTGATGTGTTAACAAAATCTCTATAAAAACAACATGCTTGAAGAAGCCACGATAATTTATGATTAGCTTCAAGAGCAATGCCGTGTTTGCACAGAATCAGAAAAACAAAAATATGAATCTGGGTTTTGTCACCAGACAAATTCTGGGTGACTTTCTTTCCTATTTTGAACAGTTTTCTTCCTAAGCTATAATCTGCACAGAATCAATTGCAAAATGTAGGCTGACAAAGCTGAACTGTGGAGAGAAAAGGGGGGGAAAAAGCTTTCTAAACTCATCACTGAGCGGTTGAAAGAAGGATGGTGGTAGAAATGAACATAAATGATGTTGAACTAGCTGAAAGCCAAGTTTTAGTATTACATTTTGTACTCAACGCTAAGTAATCAGTCTTGAGGTGAGCGCTTCTATTCAAGTATTCCATATGAATGACTCTCTCACTATTCTATCATTAAAATACTGCCAGTAAATGACTTCTACAAGTGTCACATCCTCTTCACTGATTATTACCACTATGAATAGCCAGTATTGTCTGAAAGACAACTGCACACATCACCCGCACTGCTAACATAACATGTGTTATACTTACAAACGATATGCAGGCAGCAAGTAAAAGGATCCTCACAAGCAAATCTTCGAACTGTTCAATCACTAGTGCCCAAAGTGATTTACCTGGGGGGGAGGGTTAACATCAAACTTAAGTGTGATACATTTTAAACATATGCATGTCATTTTGCGACCCCCCAAGCATACAGGATGGTTCACTCACCCTCCTCCGCTGGTAGTTCTGTAGATCATCCCATTCATACCGAAGGCAAAAAAGGTGGACAAGCAGTTAAAGTTAAGCAGTTGACACACAATAGCATATTTCAGCACAAGTGAAGTACATCAACAGCCACTGATACTGTAGTAGGATGATAAAGACAAGTTGCTCATAAAATTGGTCACAGAAGAGATGGTTTCCAGTATTTCAACATGCACATGGTGACGTAAGCTTCCTTTTTGCTCTTTCGCCTGTTACATATCTGGAGCCATGGGCCATAACGCGGCGCCGGGAGAATAGCTTCTTGTTTTTGAACAAACCTATGTAAACCAGCTCCTTACCGTTTGGCCCATATCGTTCCCGTTGTTTCTTCACTTCTTCTAAACTCAGACCCGTGCTTTCGTTCACATTAAAAAAGCTGTAAACTTCTTCCACCGTCTTTGTGTGTGCGTTGTCCATGGTGAATGGCCACTTGAGGACACCGCTTAGTTGGCTGGTTCCAACCTCAACCTATCAAGGTGGGTTTTCTAACTCCCCCTCCTTCGGTGTCACCGTAATTGAAATTTAAAAATAGATATATATTTAAGCGGAAACCCACGGCGATGAGTGTTACGAGCTAAGTAGTTCCAACACAGGATAGCACGGCGCACAGGTGTACTGCGAGAGTGGACAAATTAGCGGCTCCCGGGTTAGCGAGCGGCTAACTGGCTAAAGCTAGCTAACTATTGCCTCTGGTCCTTGGGCTCTGCTTGAATTCGCCGGCTTTGCTTCGCTAGCTGCCTCGTGAGACCTTGGAGGAAGAAAAAAAACATATCAACGCTGCTGTCTCAGCTAGATGTTGTTAATGTTGTCCCTTTCATTTAAAACAGCGAATCCCGGAAAAATTGCGTCCGAATGGATGATTTAAACATGTGGGTAAGTTGCAGCTTGGCTCCCGTCGCCCGCTTTGCCTGTGTGTTGCGGAATCAGCAGCGTCCTCATCAGCACCAATCGCGTTTCTTCTCGAATGCGGTGTTCAGTGTCCGCATGTGGAATCACCTCATTGGTTGGAGATACCGGAAGTCCTTCTCGCTCTCTTACGCACACACTCCATGCTTTTCGTAATTGCACGGTGGGAACAGTACACTGGAGCATGTGTTTGGTCAGTTTGTACATGTGACAGTGAGTCGGAATGATTTTCAATCGTATCTTAAAAAAATATTTATGCAATTGATTTTTAGTGTAAGGACATGATTTGTTATTCAACTATCGTAATTTGCATGTTTTTTTGAGGCAAATTGTACTTTCATAATAGAACATTCCAGAAAAAGTAACAGTCCGAAAACAGATCTTCACCATTATTTGTAAATAATTAGCTAATGCAAATCAATTATTTAGTATTTCCGCTCTCCTCTTTTCAAAAATAATAACACATAAAGTTTTAAAAATTGCTTAAAATCTTGTGCTATAGGATATTGGTTATAATACATATACACAGTGCTGTGGGAAGTGAGCCCCCCCCCCACACACACACACACACACACACGCACGCACACCTTTTTGAGTTTCATTAATCACACCCAGATCTGATTACTGCCAGACCCTTATGAATTAATAAAATTATTAGCCAAAGACAAATAGAGTAAATACAAAAATTCTTTTTTAAAAATGGTTATTTCATTCATTGAGTCATTCTGTCATTTAAAGTCAGTCTGAAAAGGGTTACAAAGTTACTCTGAAGGTTGTGGGACTCCAGGAAACCACCATGGGTGTAAACCCATTATCCACAGATGGAGAGACCTTGGAGCAGTAGTGAACCTTCCCAGGAGTGGCCGGTTTACCTATTCCAAGAGTGCATCAATGACTCATCCAGGAGGTAACACAAGAACCCAAAACAACATCTAGAGAACTGCAGGCCTCACTTCCCTCAGTTAAGATTCGAGTTCATGATTCAACAATAAGAAAAAGATGCAAAAATGGCATTCATAGGAGAGTTTCAAGGAGAAAAACACTGCTAACCACAAAGAAGACACACTGCCAAAAAACATTTTGATGACCCCCAAGACTTTGCGGAAAATTAAACCATGAATTCTGCTCTCTGCCAAAAGATTTTGAAAGAGAATGTCCAGCCATCAGTTGTTACCCTTAAGCTCAAGCACACTTGGGCAATACAGCGGGACAATGAACTGAAACACATCAGCAAGTCCACCTCTGAATGACTATAAAAGAAAAAGAAAAAAAGAAAAAACATCAGGCGTTGGAGATCACTATTCAAAATCTGGACTTAAATCCGATTGAGATCGTTGGTATGACCTTAAACAGGCTGTTCATGCTCAAAAACCCTCCAATGTGGCTGATTTAAGAAGAGTGGGACAAAAATTCTGCACTGTGGAAGACTCACTGATAGTTACTGCAAATACTTGATTGCAGTTCTTGCTTCCAAGGGTGGCAAAACCAGTTATTAAGTTGAGGGTTACTTTTTCACATGGGCTAGGTAGCTTTGGATAGACATTTTCTTCCCCTTATCAAATGATGTTATCCTTTAAAAACTGCCTTTTGTATTTCCTCCAGTTATCTTTGTCTAATAGTAAAATTTCTAAAACAAGTTTGGCAAATATGCAAAAGAAAGAAAGAAAGAAAATAAATAAATCTGGAAGGAGGCAGATACTTTTTCACTGCACTGTAGAATGATAGCAGTCTGGAGTCACAGATTTATTCTCCAAATAAAATAATGGGATTAATACAAGATTTGTTGATGTAGAGCACAAGTGACACTTGATGATGCCATGAAAATGCTTACTTGCTTATTGTAACAAATTAGGTGTGTAATTTGACAGTGTTGACTCCAAGACCTTAACTAGCCAATTGTAAGAGGTGCTACACTACACTGTGGAGAGATAGACTGCTACTGAATCTGTAACCAGACCAAAGCAGTGGGGATGTGTGTAGATGCTATGTTCAGTAACGGATGAAGGAATTAGCTTAAATGGTTTCTGTTAGGTTTGCTAACTGTACTGACAAAACTCAACAATTCTATACTAAAGCATTTATATCTACAACCCTGTAAAACATTACTGTGTATGTTAATAAATTCTATGTTCATTCAATAAATGCAATACTTAACACATCTGAGTTATTATCTTATATTTGTCAGTGTGAGTTGTGTGAAAAGAATCCCAGTAGTCTCTGGCAGACTTACAAACCAGCCTTACCAGTGATATAACATAGTCAGCGTTATCTTTTGCTCCCTGGCCTTCTAACGTTGTGTCAGAAAGAATTTATCAGTGGAAGTGGTCCAAGAAACCATCTTTAAACTGATACCGTACAGTCAGCCCGGTCAGTGCCATGTCTAACTTTTCTTTCACAGAAACATGACTGCTTTAGGGAAAAGGCTGCCTATAGCAAGAAAAATCCTGTTTCATGCTTTAAGCTGTTAAAATCAAACACACCAAAGATGTTGAGATAGTGTTGCTTGCGTAAAACGGCTTTGCAGACTGCGCTATCTGCTGTCTATCTGAAAGACAAGTTATTTTCAGCCACGGAGATTAATGTGTGCTGCCGCACTGAGACTTTCCTCCTCACTGAGAAGGAAAGTCGGAGCTTTCTCTGCAGGATAGAAAAGATAGCTTGAAACAAAATACAAAAATAAAACGTGTCAGTCAGCTACTCACACGACAGCTTCAGATAAAAAATGAGGAATGAACAGCAGTAACTGTGCTTTAACTGAATGTTTGATTAACACTGCTTTATCTATAGTTTTAACTATAGATACATCTCCAGTGTGGAAAATCTGGTGGCCCTGGGGAATTGTGCTTGCATTGGATCCACTCGACCTCCTATCATGAATTGTTAATGCATATCAGCATAAAGTTGCTCTGAGTGTTCACCTTTATCCTGTGATGAAACAGCTTTTATAGGATCGCCCTATCCAAAAGAGAGATGTCACTGAATGGTTATAAGAAGTTAAGAAAGTGGATGGATGTATTATTTTCTTGGTAAGACTTGATTATTATTAGCTGTTATGCTTCAGCAAGATGTGTTAAATGTGAAAACACAGACCCTGTTGTTAAAAAAAAGGATCCTGGCAGCACAATCATGAGCATCATTATGACTTTTCCCCCTCAAATTTTAAATCAATAAAACACTTCTCACCTTGTGTCGCATGAGGTAAAAAAAAGAAAATGACAGCTAAATGACACGGTGTACTTATGTTGAAGTAGGTACTGTGGATTAATGGATGGCCTTCAACCAAAGTGGAGCCATGATTGGTCACTTTAGTTGTTTACTGCAGTGTGATGAATGTTCAAAAATAAAGTATGACCACAAAGTGGTTGCAGTTTGAAAGCAAAGTGGTATGTCACTGCCCTTATCTCAAATAAGGACAGGCAATTATCACTTGACAGTTGAAGCACCTCACATTTCTTCCTCGATGTAGTGTAAACAAATCAAGATGCGGGACTAAGTAGAATGAATTTAAGGACAGTAAAACTCATATAGAGCCTGTTTCAGTATTTGCACATAAAACAAATCCATTTTCTTCTCATGTTTAGTAATGTCGGGTGCAATCAGAGGCTTACATAACTTAGCCAGCAGGGTAATAGATGGTGTGGATTTTGTTGCTGAGAATGAGGATAGTTTTTTTTAATCATTTTTATGTGTGGGAGGGAGTGAGTTTCAGTCCAGTCTCAAAAAAGTTCTACTGTAGTTGTTTTCTTATGAGGATATATCAGTGCGCACTCTGTGGAGGAGTTCAGGTGAGTGCAAGCTTTGCAAAAAAAAAAAAGGGGGGGAGGCTTAGGTCTGTTTTGTTAGTATGCTGAGTGGCATGCTGGGAGCCAGTTGACTCCTCTCAGAGATCCAAGAACTTTTTTTTTAGATTGATATTTTGCAAGTCTTAGGATGAGACCTCTCAGCACATTGAGAATAAAAGGAAGACTTAGACCAGTGGTTGAACCTTACTCCTTGTTCATCAATGATGTGATTAGTTTGTTGTGCAATGTTTTAATTGCAAAAAATAAAAAAACAAAACACCCCCCCCCCCAGATGTATCTTTATTGTTAAACACTTAGCCATACCCTTGTTGAATACTGTGGTAAAGATGGATGTATAAAGGCTGTATGAAGTCATAAATTAACAGAAAAGTACACCTCTGAGCTCCTTTATTCACCTACATTTATCAGCTGTTCTACAAATCTTCAAGAATCACTATATTACAGTAATGGTCCCAGTCGAGCATCCAGTTAGTTCTAAGTTTACTGGAAAAATGGGCTCATACACTGTGTGATATCGAATTGTTGAAACCAAGGCCTTTTTACCATACCTTGCCTATGTTTGGCTTTGGGTTTTCAGCATAAAACTAGCTGATCACCTTATAAGGCTCTCTAAAAAAAGTGTAATTGTATAAGGGCATTCAAGGATGACAAAGTTAATTTGTTACTTGGAAACCAGCACATTCCTTGTTGTTCTTGGGAAAGACATAAACACTGCTCTGGGGGTGCTTAACCTGTTTGTCTCCATAATTTGACTTTAGTGTTTATACACCTGTGTATAAACACAGCACGTTATAGGTGGCAAGGGTGAGGTCTTTGTAACCCTCAAGAAACAAGCAGCTACCTTTCACAACAAGGCGGTGAGGGTTAGCCTTTGCCTTTAGCACATTAGGCTTCCCTGAGATGTCAATGATAAATATCTAATGTTAGATTAATAATATAATTTATTGTGTGTCCTTTACTCCCTTTACTGTTCAAGATCCTGAAGCAAACAGCAAAAAGCAAAAGGATCATTGCAGTAATGTCTGCACTGACACCACTGTTGTTTTGAAGAAAGCAAGATGACACCGCAAGCACTTAAACTTGTTCTCTTCATATAAAAAGAATTAAAAAAAAATAAAAAGACAACATGATTATTAATGTGTTTACTGGTTTTTGCTGCTCTCAAGTGGTCGAAAATATTACTACATATGCACAGAACTACATATGAATTTCCTCTGAGTTCCATGTAACTTTAGTTTGTA